CACCGCGGATTCTTCTTCTGGATCGATGCCGTCGATATCAGGAAGCGAGTCTGATTCACCTTCTGTGGATTCCACGCAACAGCCAACGCCTCCCCACGTCGATACTGGTATCGATTCACCTATTGAGTCCGCCCTGCCGGAAGCCGACGAGCCCTTGTCCAAAGATGTCTTGGTCGCCGATGAACCGCAGCAACGCCCCTCAGCGGACGATTCGATTGGCTTGCAGCCCGCGGTGTTGGGAGGTGCTTCGGAGACACCGATGGTGCCGATTCCGCAGCGCTCCCCACCCGCTCCCGATCCTAATGTTGATCCACATGTTGATTCCGTGTTGTCTAGAGTCGAGTATTCTACCTCCGAAGACGTTTGGATTCCCGATGCGGAGCCACTGCACCCCACACCAGGTTCCTCCAGTATTTCGATGCCCCTGGCATGGGGAGGGGACCCTGAGCTGTCGGACGGCAACCCAATCGCGGGGAAAATTGAATATGGGCTGCCCTCAATGACCCCTACATTGCCAGGCGCTCCTAAGAGAGTCATAGTAGGGAGGAACCTCGGGGAACCGTCACCTGCTGACATGTCAGGCCACCAAATGCAGCGACGATCACCTGTCGGTGCTGAATCCGCGTACAGTGGGCCCTCCNTGACATGTCAGGCCACCAAATGCAGCGACGATCACCTGTCGGTGCTGAATCCGCGTACAGTGGGCCCTCCCCCGATGCAGCAGAGGTGGGCGTTTGAGATGAGTTCAGACCGAATTTTTAGTTGACACTAAAACATCCTGTGTGTGCTCCTTTTTGTGGTTTGCATTCGTGCGCATCGTGACAACAGATGGGCTGCAGCCAATCCAATGCATGCTGTGTTGTGTACGAGCAGGTGACAATGGGCCCTCCTCAACCACTCACACCACGACCGCTCGCATTTCCGAACGAACGAATGGCCACCAGCTTTAAAGAGCCAGTTGACGAGTCCTTGCCGTCTTCGTCGAGGGACTCTCCTGGCTCGTGGCAGCTACCTTTGCGCGTCACGCTGTTTCAGTACAGTGGATCAGTTGTGCAGGTGCGAGCTGCTCTAGTGATGGTCCCGCAGAATAGGCTTATGCTAGAGGCTACTGACAGCTGTTTCACAGTGATTCCATTAGCACGTTTTGTCATTCGCGTAGCTGGTTGGTGCCGTTCCAGCGTAGAGGCCACGGGACCGCAGTGGGCAGGACGGAAGCGTTGCTGTTGTGTGCTTTGTACAGTCGGCACCTGTGGAAGAGCTACCTACTGATGCAACCGTCANGGAAGCGTTGCTGTTGTGTGCTTTGTACAGTCGGCACCTGTGGAAGAGCTACCTACTGATGCAACCGTCATTTCCCACTTCAGGTGGCTCGGAGATTTGTTTCCAGGAATTCCTCCTGAGGTCTTGAGGACGCATCCATTTTACCGTCACCCGCAACGTCAGCCGCCACCGACCAGACGATCTTTTACTGAGAAGATGGTACTGTTTTACGCAAAGTTCCAGAAGTTACCGAACCCAGCGCTTACTGAGTGCAGGGAAATAATGAAGAAGTCGTCGCTGACCCTGGAGGACTTCGAAGAACTTGTATCCCAGGCAGAACGCCTATGTGGATATGCAATTGAGAGCATGCCGGTAGCTGGCAGACGTCCACACCCATTGTGTGTCTTAGAAGCTCTGGGAACGATATTTCTTGTTCTCGACACGCTGTACTGTGCAGCAGAAGTACTCGGGGAGAATTCGGGGAAGCAGTGGTGGTGGCCTTGGATAGTAAGTCGCCTAGAACATGCAAGATTCGAGCAAACCCACGAATGCTCATTGAGTATCAAGTCTAAGAGAAATTCAGAGGTTGCACACGCGCTGAGCATGGCTCTGGAGTACTATAGGAGAGGCATCCGGCCCCCAATGATCATGGTGATCGGCTTGAAGGAAGCGCTGTTTTGTGAAGAGCGCATATCGAAGTTCAAGGCTATATTGTGGAGAGCGTGGAAAGAAGATGCTGAAAAGTGGAGGGAGTCCATAAAACCGGACGTAGCAGGGAGCAAATGATTAACAATAAGCTTGACAGGCGGAAGGGGCCGAATTTGTGCTCGAACCCGGGAGCACAGGTGTCCCAGTGCTGATACCTGCAACATCCTTTGCTATGCGCCCGAAAAGGGGACGTAGTAGTGCCAAAGAGACCTGGGGCAAACTGACCCCCTATCTGGATCGCACGTAAACGATTTCGAATATTTGTGAAGCTCAGGCGGCTCAGGATGGGACGGTCAGGAGGCAGCAGCACNCACGTAAACGATTTCGAATATTTGTGAAGCTCAGGCGGCTCAGGATGGGACGGTCAGGAGGCAGCAGCACGCGAGCAGCGCCGCCAACGCATCCGTGCGTGGATGGGGTTGGCTGCCATGGCCCGCACCACGCAGGTTCATGTGAGACGCATGTTACTGCCTGATATTCGGTTGGTAACTTCTGACATCGGAATGTGAACGCATCACCATTTAAGCAGCCAGCTGTCAGTAGACGGTAGCTGTAGCATGGTCCGTCTGGAGTTGGTATTATATGGGTTTCTCCTTGTACGGTTGCATATTGAGGGGCGCGACAACTTCAAACAGTTGTCTACAGTGTTTTTGCATCCAGACATGAAATGCCCCCGCCTCCATACACCGGAGCCGGACTTTTGTGCTGCCGAGCTGAGGGGATCTGGAGACTGGATTGGGGGTCAATTCCTTTTTGGAATGCCTTATCGTGAATACGTTTGAA